TGTGTTTCAATAGTCAAATCAGAACAGACGTTGATCTCCTAATTAATTTCTACTGAGTTTACCATATCTACATCTTCACTCTTCAAAAATGATAGATTCTATTTTTAAAGATGATAGATTCTCTCTTCAAAGATGATAGATTCTCTCTTCAAAGATGATAGATGCACTCTTCAAATATGATAGATTCTCTCTTCAAATATGATAGATGCACTCTTCAAAGATGATAGATTCTCTCTTCAAAGATGATAGATTCTCTCTTCAAAGATGATAGATTCTCTCTTCAAAGATGAAAGATTATCTCTACAAAGATGATAAATTCTCTCTTCAAAAATGATAGATTCTCTTTTCAAAGATGATGGATTCTCTTTTCAAAGATGATAGATTCTCTTTTCAAAGATGAAAGCTTTATTGGATTTCTACACAAGTCCAAGCAAAGAAAATAAGTTGGTTTTATCCACGACAAAACGGAGCATCAAGGTCATAATTCTGATTACAACAAGAGTTACATAAATGAAACATTTCTTCTGAGACTTAAATGAAGCAAAGAAGACACGAAAATACAAGTTGATCATATGGTTCTTCAGAAATATAGCATAAGTTGCTACACTCCAAAGGTAACCCTGGAAATAAATGATCAAGTGAAGGAAGACAAGTTCACCACTTTGAAGTCAAATGAAGATTGCATTAACATTCATGCATTCATAAGAACATCATTTGCACAATAGACAATGTATTACATTAATACATTTTATTGCATTCAAACATAAGGTTTTTTCAGATTTTCATATGAAAAAGAAAAGTCATGACGCAAAATACCTCACAAGAAGAAGGTAGAATTCAAAACCTCAAATGCAGAAATCATGAAAACATCTGAAGAATAGATGGTTGCAATCCATAAAAGAAACATTATTTTAAAATGGGGCATGTTACCCAATCAACCAAGTTATTTTGGAAAAAAAAATGAGAAAACGATTTCCAAAATTTCTCATTTAATCTTTTCTAAAAATGAAATTGTTGAATAGTAAGAAAATGATTTCCATAGTTTCTCACTTAGTAAACTATTTCCCACATCTATAAGACCTACAGTACATGATGTTTTCAAAAAGCCTTCGGGAGCTTTTTGATATTTAAAGCCTCCAGGTCATCTGTAAGACCTGCAGTGCAAGATGATAAGACCTCAGGGCCATTCATAAGACCTCTGGGCAGAATGTTTTCAAAATTTCCAGAAGAGTTCATAATGAGAAGAACTCATCTGAAGAAGGAAGAAGAAGTTCATAATAAGAAGAACTTGTTCAACCTTTTGCTCAAATTCATCATTCGATGGATCAACTTTTCCAGAGAAAGTTCATAATGAGAAAAACTTATTTGAAGAGGAAGAAGGAGTTCATAATGAGAAGAACTTGTTCAACCTTTTGCATGACTCTATCACAGAAGGAGATAGATCAGCATCAACATTTCCAGAAGTGTTCAAAGTGAGAAGAACTCATCTGAAGAAGGAAAAGAAGTTCATAATGATAAGAACTTGTTCAACCTTGCCTTAATTCATCACATATGAAGCCAAATTAACAACCCCTCTTTTGAAGATCAGTATTTCCAGAAGGAGCTCATAATGAGAAGAACTCATCTGAAAAAGAAGAAGAAGTTCATAATGAGAAGAATTTGTTCAACGTTTTGCTAGATTATATCACAGAATGAGATAAATTGTCATCCCCAGTGGAAAAGTTCATAATGAGAAGAACCAATCCCAAAAAAGAACTTGTTCAACATTTCCATCCTAATCAAGAGAAGTCAAATGGACAAAAACTTATCGTCTTTTTCATCTTTGCCCTATTCTTGTTAACACAAAAATAAGCAAAGAGGGGAAGCTGAAGACACTAGTTTTTGTCCATTCGTTTTTATTATTATTAATAATTAATATTAATATTATTATTATTAATTATTAATTTTATTATATTATATGCCATTTACAATTACAAATCCTGGAGGCCCGAATACAAAACAGATTTGGCCCAACCAAATGGCCCAGTAAAACCCTAAACTACTATGGTTTCCATCATCTCAGCTTACATCCGCCAATGATCTCAACCATTGGATCTCTAAGATCCAACGGTCCACATGTGGTTCCAACTAATGCATCTAGGCCAGCGTCGCCTCCAGATGCTTTCAGCCACCCCACGTCCCACTCTACCGACGCATCCCAAGCCAGATGGGCCAACCAACCGCTGCTGATGCCCAACCACCTTCTCTCACTCTCACCGAAGCCTCCCGGAGTGCCACGAAGCCACCCACGTCGAGCTCTATGGTGAGTTACCACCATAGCTATGGTGACTCACCAAATTACCCTCTATTACCCGGTCTGAGAAGGACATTATGGTGGCTATAAAAGCCACCACCGAACCTGCAAAGAGGGACAGAAATGAAGATACGAGCCCAACAGAGCAAGAACAACAACCAAGAGAAATACAACAACCAACCACCAAATATCGAAATAACAAAGTAGAGAAAAACTTATCGAGGAAGATCGGAGACACCACGCACCTTCACTCACCTCCGACAAGTTCGAAATACTGAAGGTATTATCGTAGATCTACTCATATTAGAAGATTTTTAGGGGAAACTAATGTTAGATTTGGTATTGGGGTGTTCGGTGCTAAATTTTGGTGAAAATTTGTATTTTTCGGCCAACGATGACGGTGGCCGGAAGCGATAATGGCAGCGGCGTATGGCGGTCGGCCGGCGACCAGATTCCCTCCGGTGAGGGAATCCTAGAGAAAAGGGAGAGAGATTTATCTCTCTTGTCTAGAGAGAGAATGAAAGATGAGAGAAATGAGAAAATGGCCTTAAGGCCGGTTATAAAGGGGTATTTATGAGGGACCCCTGTGTAATTTAGCGTAGGGTTTAACTCTTCCCACTGTCCTTATAATTTGAAAATATTTCAATTTAATCCCGAAAAGCATGTTCTAATTTATTTTAATTTGGTATTCGAATTTTTTTATTATATTTTAGTCCTTGATATAATTATATATATTTTAATCCCGAATTAATTTATTATGGTTAAATTACACTTTTAATGCTTAGATTTTATAATATTTTCGAATTATGTCCATTAATTTTAATATTTTTATAATTTAATTTTTAAAAGCATATTTCTGTTTATTTTAATTTGATATATATATATATATTTCTTTTTAGTTATTTATATATATATTAGGGTAAGATATGACAAAGATATGATTTTTTTTATTAGAATTTAACCTTTTCGAAGATGGTGCTATATTGACAGACAAATAATAATCATATTGACTTAGTGGTAGTATGATTGCCAATAAATTGATTGATAAATTTATATTATATGTATGTAGGGTATATAATTAAATTAATATAATTTTGTTACTATATGCACGTGATATGCATATTATAAATAAACAATCCTCATCATTTTGATAATATCTTCAAGAAAGATCCGGTATCAATAAATTTTTTTGATTTATAATTTAGTGTTTAAATTTTATTTTATTATAGTTTAGTACATGTTATATTTATATATATTTAGTTAGTACTTTAATTATTATTTTAGTTATATAAAAATATATTTAATTAAATAATAATATTTATTTATTTTAAATATTAAGATAGGGTTGTCTTAAATTAACTAGAAATCCTATTCCGATATTTTTAAATAAATAAATATTGTATTTATAAAAACAAATATATATATATATATAGTTATTCTAGTTCTATTCAAATTATTATCTTTTTTTAAATTTTAGTCATATTAATATATGTATATTAATAAGTATTATTTAATTAACTTCACCAATTAATTAAATGATAATATTTATTTATTTTTAATTACTAAGAAAAAGGCGATCTTAAAATAACTAGACGTCTTATTCTGGTACTTTAAAAATAAATAAATATCTTATGTATACAAATATATATATTTACTTTATTTTTATTATTTTTATGAAAAATCATTATATTCTTCTTAATATTTATTTATTTTTAATATCAAAGAAAAGAGTCGTTTTAAAGCAACTAGATGTCATTTTCTGACGTTTTAAATAAATAAATATTTAATTTATAATTTATAAAAATCATTTTTCTTCCTTAGAATTATCCGATTAAAATATGAAATAATAGGATCATAAATTAAATTTATATTCGAATTCTTAAATTCTAATATTATAGACAATTTATAAATCGACAATGACCAATTTTGGGCATTGTGGGGGTGCTATTCCTTCTCTAAACGTAATCGACCACGAATTCCTTTTTATTATTAAAAAAAATGAATTTTTGGTTAAACGCATACCAATTTATCTTTTAACTGATGTTTTCTTAAAAACTCTTTTAAAAGGTAATTTTTAGGTATTCGATCTACCTAATCCAAAAGGCCGATGGCGACTCCCAAAACATTTCTTTAAATAAAAATCATTTATTTATTCATCTTATTTTTCCCGCCAAATAAAATTTCGTGCCAAGACGGAAACCAGTTACGACATAAGGAATTCACGATATTCTCTGTTGAATTTATGACCTGAATGCTGAAATCCAAGAACACCTTCATCTCCTCCGTTCTGTTAGTTGCGAAAACTGTTTGAGGAACCCCATTGATGACAACTCGTGTGATGGAACAGATGACCAAAGATCAACCAGAACAGGCCTTCTGTCTAAGACAAGTTTTGGAGATATGAACAACAAAAGGTTCAAAATCAGATTTTTTACAGTAAACTGTCACCAAGACTCTTCTGTGTCCTTAGAGTACTCATATTCGATACATATGCAGACATTGTAGGGTATGGTCCTCCAAATATATGGAAGAGTTAGAGTGAAAATAACTAAACACACTCGGGTTATACACAAAACCATAGACATCACATACTCCCAAATATAAGTAGCAAAGTCTATAACCTCAATGGACAAAGTCATTGATCGGTTTCTTACCCAAGTGAGAGATTATGGTGGAAGAATTGCTTCTTGTCAATTTTTTTCCAGCCCTATCCTTACAAATATCATCAGCCATTGTTACCACGACACGGCCATATATGCTTTCAAGGGTAGAACCAGTAGGAAGCTGTATTTAATGTTAGGTTCAATGATGCACAGAGATGCTGGCTGGATATGAGTTGTACCATCAACAATAACCTACAAAATGAATTGTTCTCAATTTAAAGCATGAAGATAGCTAATTGAAGTTTTAATTTCTGTTGTTTATTGCACACAGCAAGGAAACCTCATCTCATATTCAACAAATTAACAAGCTCTGAGCAAACCACCCCACTTACATCACAATTTGATGAGTTCAGACACTCGAAGCCACCATGTCAAATGCAAGCTTCACTGAATGTAATGTCGATTGTAATCTTTTCAGCATTCGAGTAATTCTGTTTGCTTGAAATAATTGCTGTTGGTGGGATTTTATCTGAAAAAAAAGTCTAAACTATAAGCAAATGACTACACTGTCAGAATCATAAATGCCGATCCTCCAATCTGATATACATACCGATAAACCATGAATAAGATGAAAAGTTTTTCTCTCCGTTACAGGTTGTGACGTTGAGAAGGAAGTTGTGCTTATGATTTGCAGTTAAGTTGCTCAGAACTATGTTAACATCATGACAAGCCAACAGCTCATCAAGAACAGAGTTAAATATCCTAGTAAATTACCAATGTGCATACTTTCGGTCGTCATTGCAGATATCGAGATTTGAATTCCTAACATTTTGGACAGGGCCTTTTTAAGTGATTGAAATCAAACAGAGTGACAGAGAAGTTACCAAGAGTAATACCTCACAGTAAATAGAACAACTACTGTTCCTGCAAGCATTAGAACCGTTAGGCCTTTCAAATGAGTACCTAAAAACAGCAATAGATAACCTTGACCATAGTGGGGGAGTTTCATCGAAATGAATGTAAACTGCTGACTCGGTGAAGTTCAGTGCACCAACAACCGTTACTGCAACAAAGAAACTCAGTTTAAGAAACTCGAAAAACCCTATTTCAGGAATTGCCATTTACTTTCATAATTCAGCCAACAAACAGCCAGGAAGAGGAGAGAAATATAAAGAAGAGAAGTTGTGAGTTGTGGAGAGATTTATTAACGGCTTTTATGTATATGAATTTTGGTTCTTATTTAAGTTTGAAGAAGTGGAGAAAAGCTCAGGTAACCACCTCAACCACAATTGTCAGTCCTCATTTACTGCTGATATAAAGAAGTTTTCATTCCTCTATAGCTACCATTGGCTGTGGCTGGTTTTCCTTACTTTAATGCAGTTGGTTTATTTATTTATTTATTTTTTTTTTTTTGCCTTCTCAGTTTTTCCTATGTAAATAAAAGAAGTTAATGCATGTGGACCCCAATGCAATTTGTAAAATTTTGTCGTAGTCGTCTTTTGGTTGGGTTCAGAATTGGACTTAAACTTGAAAAAATGGGTTAGAGTCGCCACCAATTATTTTAAAAATATTTAGGTGGATCTGACATCATCTTACTTGATCTACGTTTTACTAGAAATGTGTCGGGTTCGGGAGTCGGTTACAATCAATGAAGGATTAGCACTCTTGAACAGCCCTTTTGGTACCGTTTTAATTTGTCAGTAGTCTTAATTACGAAAATTAAAATTAAAATTAAAATTAAAATTAAAATTTAAAAACCCAATTCAAATTACTTACATTCAATTGATTAAAACATTCTCCTAAAAAGTCAAAAATATTGTTATATTGTAAAATAAAAATAAATATGAAAAAAAAGAAATAAAAATATTAATATGAGAATAATAATAAAAAAATAAAATAGATGAATAAAGAAAGATGAAATTGAGAAAAAAATAAGAAAAATAAGAAAAAAATCAAATAAAAAGAAATAATAAAAAATGGTAAATTTTGAAATAAAAAAATAGAGAAAATGTCTAAAAAAGATAAAATAAATAATACACCCACTAATGTAAACACAACACATATCAAACACTAAAATATAATAAACCCATACAATTAGAACTAAAATATAAATTATCCAAAATTACAAATTAAAAATCGAAATAATTAAAAATATATAAATTATAGTGACAAAAAAAATACACGTAAAATAATATGACCAAATTAGAACCAATAGTATTTGGGGAGGACCGGACATGTAAATAAACCTTATCATCAACAAAGAAATCACATATTTCACGAACTAAACTAAAACAAACATCAACAATTGTAATTTACTTCTTTTTATGACCAATCGTAAGTTCGTAAAAGCTAAAACAATATAGCAAAGGTAAGAGAAATAACAAACGAACAAAAAATTGCATACTAGGTGTTTAGCTGCCTGACAAAACTCGAGAAGTTGTTGTGCTTAAAATACTTGGGAAAAAGATCCCGAGCGAACTCCGACAGGTTCCAGACAACGAAGCTATTATTGGTTGGGCTCCAAGAAACGACGTCATCGGTTATGGAATCATCCACCATATTGTAAGTCTTGCTCAAGAAAAGCGATGGCGCGTTCGCAATCTGCACTGGAACTGGCTTAGGCGTTGGTTGAGATTGTGTTGTTGTTTGGCTTGCTTCGCCACTTATCGATGCATCGTTTTGGGCGTTGCTACTGCCTCCTTTTTTCCTCTCCCCTAGAACTCGAACTCTTTCCCCTTTTTTTGGTTAGATCCCGATTGTGCGAACTCTTCCCCCTTTTTATGGTGAAAGTATGATGGTGAGTTGGGTAATTAGGTGGGTAGTAGTGGATTAGGTGGTTAGTGGGTAGTGGTAGATTAGGTGGTTAGTGGGTAATGGTGGTTAGTGGGTAGGGTAGGTAATAATTAATAATAATAATTATTATTATTATTATAATATTTTTTCAAACCGGACAAAAACGGGTGTCTACAGCTGTCCCTCTTTGCATATTCTTGTGTTAACAAGAATAGGGCAAAGATAAAAAAAATAAAATCAGTTTTTGTCCGATTTTTCTTTTTTTGGTTTTGGAAACTTGATATGTTTGTGTTGGGAGCAACTGTAATTCGGCTTCGGGTTGAGCCTAGAATTGGGCCTTGGTTTTCTTCTTGGTTTAAAGACTTCGGCTTGAAAATTCTTCCAGAAAGTAGTTTCCCGATGCTACCATGTGTTTGATTTATTCTCGAGCTAAATGGAATCGAACTCGAAAATTTTCGTTGACAGATAGCCCTTCTCGCCTTGAGCTATGCTGTAAATTTGAATGTGATGTAGTTCCTTGTTGCTAAATCACAGCCAACCCAGATCTTCTTCTTGATGTAAAGACCTCGGTTTAAAATTCAACCGGAAGGTAGTTCCTCATTGCTACCATACAGTTGATATATCTTCGAGCTGAATGAAATCGAACTCGGAAATTCTTGTTGACATATAGCCCTTCTCGCCTTAAGCTATGTGGTATATTCTTTAGATGACTCCCCTTCACGGGAAAGCCAAGTGGTATATTCTGTCAGCAAGACATCTTCCTTCGTGGAGATTAAATCTGGCTTGAAGATGTTAACTGAAAATTTTCCACTCGTGCTGAGTTACTCTAAACTGGATCCACTCTGAATTGACTCTCGAACTTTCCATAGGTCAAATTGCTTGAGGTGTAGCTCCTCGCCGCTGAGTTAAACAACCACCATCGAATATTTTTAAAACTCTTTTAAATCAAGTATCTTTCGCCTTGAAGTTGAAGCTTGACTGTACAGCTGCAAAAATTATGTATGCGAAAAATGATAAATATGATGTTCTTTAGTATGTCTAAGATGTATGCAAAATGAATTAGTTCTTGTTTTATCTCTTAGATGGAGTCTCATTCTTTGTCTGCTTATTCCTACATGTGTAGGAAAGGCTTTCAGAAGATCTGATAATTTGCATCAGGATGTTCAATCCCCAAAGATGCCCCAATATTCGATATTGAATCTCCAAAAATGTCCCAACATTTGATGTTGAATCTTCAAAGATTGCCCCATTGTTTCTTATTTTTTGCTTTAGCATTGATTTTAAGCATGAGCTTTGTGTCTGAGAGCCACATGTCATTTACCAAGATCTATTCTAGAGAGATTATCTTGTTTGAAAAGTGTTTTTCTTTTTCTTTTATTTTCAAGATCTAAAAATATCAATTAGAAGTGTTTTGAAAAAAAAATAATCAAAGATTTGAAAATATAGCCTCTTTCGAGGTTTTACAATTAAGACAAATCTTAAAACTAGAGTTCATTGGATATCAAAGAATTAATTACATTGTTAATCCTTCAATAAATTATAGCTATTTGACAAGTGTCAAGATCAAAGCTATCTTTGGGAAATGGTTAAGGAAAAAATATCAGGTTATCGTGTTTGGTCAAAGGTTTGATATTCTTATTTCTTTAATGTTCAGTGGTCTGATGGGGTAGCTTGTAGGGTCCTCTAATGGAAGTCTTCTCCGACTCCCAGCTCTCATGGTTACACTCGAATTGTACGATGCCTTATCAAAGAATTTGTATATTTTAGCCGCCTTTTTAGGTTTTCAACTCAAATCCTCCTTTGTTTTCAAGGCGTAATCAGAATTTACGTCTTGAACCCACTTTTTTTTATTTTTCTCTATCATATATTAAAGATTTTAGAAAAAATTTTGCAAATAAAGATTAATCCTGATGGGCGGGATGAAATATGAAGATAGTCTCTTCTGTATAAAAATCCATGTATGATTAGAAGGGTCTTTTAAGGCACGTAATGTACGTTATGGTTCATGGTTATGAAAGAAAAGGATAAATAGGCTCAAACAAGTGTTTCAGGGTATTGAACCAAGGATCAATTCATTCTGATGCCTTCAATCCTGTATTGCTCAATTTGAATATGCTCGTATGTGTTTCTCTTGATTTTCTCTGGATGCTCCATGATCTTCGAGTGAAGTGATTATGGAATGATTGTGCTTGATCAATCTCATAATTTGAATCTCGATGCGTCATTTGAATCGAGAGAATCTTTACATATGCGTCTTGTCTTTTTTTTCTTCATTTTTTCCTTTGTTTTTGTTTCTCTTTTTTATTTTTTCTTTGCTTTTTTCTTTATTTTTCTCTCTTTTTTTCTTTTTTCTCTCTCTTTGTTCTGATTAGATCTTCGCACTTGGCATTTGGTTCATCTTTTGGTATCTCATTTGGATTGATGTCTTCACTCATGTGAGCAGATTTGTTCCACCTTGCCCCCAGTGTGGAGGCTGATTCTTGCTTAAGGTTGAATCAGAAGAAAAATAATATAGGCTCAAAAGGGGACAACAAGGGATATAAATATGCATATATAGATAAATGAAACAAAGTCGTTCATCATCTCATACACAAAAGTCCTCACACAAGAGGTATCCCCCAGGGGGATAGATTTTCAGGAATAATTTTTATTCACATGAAAATAATGTAATTATTGCATGATATAATTATTTCAAATTAATTCTCCTTTTCTGTTTCTTGCTCCCAGCATATCTCAATATTCAGGCTCATATTTAGGAGGTTGATGCGAGATGCCCCACATCGTTTCTTCTGGTAGGAAGGTTCATGCCCAGGTGAACACCTTGTGCTCAATGCCTTAGGTTTTATTGGTAAAAAATGTTGGTTTTACGTCTAAAAAGACGATGGTGTGACTTTATTGACTCAAAGAA